TCATTTTCATAGATTTTTTTTTTATTTTTGTGCAAAATGTTGAGAAAGTTTTTCGTCTCCTTTGGCCTGCGAGTCAGTTTGCATTACATACAGTGTGTTATTAATCCCCCCCCCCCCCTTCACCAACCGCACACCCCACCCCCCTCAAATCATCCCCTGTCGGGCAGAGTAAACAAGTGGCACTGTGTATATCCTCCATGTAATCTGGATTTAGCTCGGTGAGATCACGGCTGTTGGAGCAGAGAGCCCCCCTGGACGCTCAGCTGCATTGTGGGAGGTTCCCTCTCAATGCCACCTTTGTCCGTTTGTGTCCGTGTGTGCGTGTGAGTGCGTGTGTGTCGGAGATAGTCCAGTTGACAGGCCACAATAAGTCATGAGTAAACTTCCCCATGGTGAGAACCGAGCTCGGTTTATGTGTGCTTGTGAAAACACTCGGTGTTAAATGGTTTGAAAATGATTCTGCTGATTGGTGTGACGTGTGCTGTCCTCACACACTCACTGCGAGTGTTATTCTGAGCCAAGTGCAAAGAGGACTGGACCTCTCATTGGTTCACAGACAAACAAGTAATATTTGGTGGTGGGCAACACTTCCTCTTGTTTCAAGTTAGAGCTGTAAATTTTACTTTTTTCATACATTTTTTCATACATTATTGAAGAATTCAACTACATTATACGGCCCACATATGCTATTTTCATTCTAATTTATCCTGCCAAGCAAAGTAAAAACACAATAATTTGGTCAAAACTGAGTTCAGACTCTGACCTTTTGGCGTCTGAAATCATCTTACCGTACAAATGTATAATTTCTGTGAAAACAGTATGTAAATCTGATTTGGTAATCAGCGGGCTGTTACACTTAAGCACTTTCAGAGAAATGAAATCAGGGGGCTATATTGAGTTAAGATAGCTCGTAAGCAAGGCTATGGAACCCAAAAAATGTTCGATATTAAATAAATAAAGTAGATCTTATGAAATAAATAAATAGTGTCAAATGCTGTTCATACTGACAGCAGATTCCTCAATTTGGGCAGCTATTCTGGTCGTTTGAAGGTCACAAAAACGTAACATAAATGTCAGCTTTCTTGACCTGCACTTATCTGCATGTTGAAAAATCTGGGGGACTCTAACTTTTTGGCAAGGGTACATTTCATTTTTTTAGTATCATAAGTAAAAGAGTTCGTCTGTGGACTAAATGTGCTATAAAACTGTGGTTGATAGATATATTGGAAATGTATTACTTGTTAAAAGAACAAGGAGTCAGCTACATTTTGATATAAGATTTAAAAGTCTGTGTAGTGAAAGTGAAAAGTGTGCCAACCCACCCCGGTCTCCCCTACTTGGCATCACAAGGGCTAACCGGCTCAGTTTAGTGCAGATGTTGAGCTTGCTTGTCTAAGAAGCAGGCAGCTCGTGATTGGCTGGAAGGTGAGAGGGCGGTGACACTATGAAATAAAGTGTGTCATTATGAGAAGTGACGCCGTGAATCAAAGTGGCATGAAATAAAAGTTGAACTCTGAACAGTTTGATCCCAAAGTTTACTGTCACACTTCATTAGAACACATGTTTAATCCAACAAAGGAACACTGTGTTGCATCATACAGCTGCGTGATGTCACTCGCTCCATTTTCTAGATGTTAGTCCAGGAAGAAAATAAATGACAATAGCTCTTCTTCTTGCAGGGACTCCTTTCTGTTTTTGCACAGTGTGGCAAATCGTGCAATTTTGTATTTAGGGACAAAACAGTTGAAGAGACATGAAGGACTTCTGTCTGTCTCCCTCCCATAATGGGGGCAGCAGCTGGGAAGGAATTACTCTAAACTTCTCTACTTAGCACCACTGCCGTCACAGTGTAGTGATCTAAGAAGCTTTTTTTAAATGGGTTTGTGTGTGTGTGTGAGCACAGGGTCTCTTTTCCTGCCTCTTTGCACGTGCTTGTACGTCTCTGCGTGGGTGCATATCTTCGTCTCTGTAGCTGTAATTGTTTTTCCCCTGAAAAGCTCCTCGACTTCTGTGTTGACATGTATTTTCCAGCAGTGTGCATCAGGCAAAGTAAACACTCTGAACGCTTAGTTTGCATGGACTGGTGAGGTCACCCCCCTCCCTCTTTGTTTGAATGACAGGTGGTTAGCCTGCATGTGTGAATAGGACCCCAGTTTGTGTACTGTTTGCTCCTGTATATTTTATATTACAGCTGGAGAAACTTATACATTTGTGATCAGTGTCACCAGAACTATTAGATTTATTCAGCCAAGAACGCAGATCTTTACACTTAAAATACTGCAGTGTAGGCCTCCTGCAAGTTTGTGGATGCTGTTATATAACATTGTTCTTGGTTGGGGCTGATAATGCCTGGTTCATGTGTGCTACCTGCTCCGAATCCAACTCTCTCCCCTTTTTTAAACAGCCAGAGATTTCCAGTGTGTATTCTCCTTTTATTGCTTTCATTTGCATATAAATTAAATCCATATTGTGCCTGCGAGGCAGACTATGCTAACTATGCAAACGATCCCTGGCTTTTCTTTGTTTTACAGATAAACCCTCGGCTTCCTAAATGACAAGGTGGGAGGGAAGGGGAGAGAGAGAGAGAAATCCTCTCGCTGTTTCATAATTGTATGAATTTTAAATACATTGTCATAGGATCCTCTTCCACATTCACAGCGGGGAATGAGAGTGTCATTAGAATATTAGAGCTGCAGGGTTAGCTGACCTTGAAGAGCCAGGCAGCCTCTTCACCTCTGCTCACACATGCAAGCCAGATGGCAGAAGAGACTGGATTTAGAAACACATTTGGCCTGTGTGTGTGTGTTTTCTAAACATAATGACAACCTCTTAGTTAATTCCTGGAGACATCAAAATATCTTTAGCTGGTGCAAAATGTTTTTTATGGTGTATGTGGCCTAACCAAATAGACTCACTTTAGATAGTGTTTAGATTAATTGTATTTTGTGTCAAAGATAAATCAACATGAACATTTATTTAGAAATTTCAGCGATATGAAATTTTTCCTAATATTGCAGGACCCCTGCAGGTTTATGGGACACTTTACCTGCACCAGAATCCATGCATGCAGTGTGATCCATTTTAAAAAATATTATGAGCTATATTATGCACAAAATCATGTTTTTTGTCCATTTATAAGCTTTTTCAGGACGATTTAATTCAATACAATTCAATGCAGCGCTCATTAACAGACGCCGCTCACTCTCAGTCTTTACACACTTAATAAATAAATATGGCAATTTTTTTTTTAAAAAGATGAAATGCTAATTAAATCTGAAATAACCTGCCTATACACTAACAGCAAGTCCCTGGTCGTCGTTATTGAAATCAATTATTACCACGATGCTTTGCTATGCGCTTATTAAATCTGCTCTATAGGCAGAGCTGAACACACTGCAGCACTTGAAATAATTAAAAAGCCTGAAACGCGGAGGCCGTGAACTCCTCCGCTGCAGACCTCTGCAGGCTTGTTAGCTCTTAATTAAATAATCCGATCCACGATCAGTTGTATAGAAGCGAGGTGACAAACAGAAATCAGAGAAATCACTGCGTGGCTGGGTCGGAGGAGTTTGGCCCGGGGTTGCTCAGACGGAACGTGCACCGAAGCTCATTCGCTTTTTTATCAAATTTACAATGTAATCAAAGTGAGCGCTCCCTTTCTGTGTATTTATATATATGTTAGGTTAGAAAATAATCATACTATCATGAAAAATAATTCGGCACAAATACAAGAAGCTTTGGAGACAAATCCTGACCTCACGGGCCGGTTTTTGATGTAAAGTTGACGCTTTGTTTGATGCAAAGTGACTTGTTAAAAGGCATGTTTTTGCAATTGGAGGCTGGGCTGGGACTTTATATGTGTCTAACACTGAATATTGGTCACAATCGGTACACACAGAGCTGAACTGGATGATGTAAGTGAAAGTCAGGGCACATAAAATTATGCATGCACCCCTGATGAAAATAGAAAAACAGAAAAAATAGACCTAATCATCATCTGTTTTTGTCACTAAAATAAACACGTTGTGGATCATATTTTCATAAAAGCAGTTTTCCCTCATCTTATTCACATCAGTTTGAGACTTATAAATATATCTCTCATCATCTGCAGATTATGGGGATTAAATAGAGGGATTTTCACACCAGTAAAATTAAAATTTTTGTATCTGAATTTTGTCTGTTTTTCCTCCAACATCCCCTTAAAAAAATAAAAAATAAAAAAAATAAAATAATGACAGTTACCAACTCTCACATCATCAGACAAACACAGACCCTTCACTTTGTCTGCTCTCGCTGACCTTGGAGCACACACACTCCCAAATACACACGCCATGTCACAGGGTTCACCCTCAGCCTCGATCAAACCTGAAACTGAGGTCACGTAAGGCCAAACAGGCCACATGTATCCCATGTTTCTGCCTCAAGCACAGACACCGAGAAGAAGTCAGGTCACTACACACACATTGACAGGTTCCTTCATTTCATTTAAAAGTCTAAAAGTGCGAGTGAGAGTTTACCAGAGATGTGAAATGGTGTGAATGCCCAGAATAGATTAATAGGTGAAATGGTATCCATTATGGAGAAACAAGCAGTGTCTGATTATAGTGTAACACAAGCTGTGAAACAGGAACTGAGTGTGTGAGTGTGTGTGTGTGTGTGTGTGTGTGCCCTATATGTCTGTATTTCTGTCTCTGCCTCATCTCCTCCCTCAAACATCAAAATACTTCTAATAAAATAATAATAAACCATAAGTGTAACCATATTATCAGAAAGAATTTAAAAGCCTGTTAATAATTACGGGTTGCTCCTTTAAATTTGCTGTAGTTAAAGTGACAAAATAGTAATTTAGATTTAATTTACTCCTTTTAAATTTAAAATGGGGTGTTAAAATAAATTCAATTTAACAACTATATATAAAAAATGGATTTATTTTTTTAATCACCAAGAACTGCTTTTATCAGTGGGATCGGGTGAATGAAAGAAAAATTGTAGTCCATATATCTACCGTTCTCTCTCTTTATTTCAGACTACATGTGAACATATTAAAATCTTTGGCTTGTTTTTGAGTCTGATGTGTTGAAGGAAAATGTGGCGCACGTATGGGGGACAGGGGGGACCACAAAAAACCCTAAAGAGCCAATTCGACATCCTAAAAAACAATGACAGAAAAGATCCGGGTGAGAGATGAAATTAAATATACTGTATACAACATGATAACTGTTTGGCTATATAAACTTTAATAACGTTCATTTATATAATTATGTCCATATACTGTTACCATAAACAGAAATCTGTGTTTTTAAATAGCGTCTCCCCCACTTCCAGTTCTTTTTTTTTATTATCTCCAAAAGCCAAAAGAGTCAGATGTTGGCCCTCAGCAGGGAAATGTCCGGGCCGCGTCTCATTACTATTCACTGTCCTCCTTGTCCTCCTGCACGGTGGTCGTGGAGTGGTTGTACAGTCCTTGGGCCATGAGCTGCAGGGCCAGGCCGTTCTTGTAGCCGGTGGCCTTTTTAATCTTGGCCCTCTTATTCTGGAACCAGATTTTAATTTGGGACTCGTTCAGGTTGAGTTCCTGCGCCAGGGACTGTCTCCGCTGCTCCGTTATGTACCGGTTGGCCTGGAACTCGGTTTTCAGTCTCTGCAGCTGCTCGGCAGTGAACGCTGTCCTGGGCCTCTTGTCCTCCTTGGTGCTGCTCTTCTTCTTTTTCAGTTTCCGTGTCCTTGGGCCTGGTGTGGAAACAACAATGGGAATAAAATGTTTATTCTACTGCGCGCAAAGTCCCTCTATATGTGTGTGCTCATATCGACTGAGTGTGTCCCTGATGCGCCTTATTATCTGCTCGGTGTGATCAAATGTAGGTCACCAAAGTGTCCTGATAATGGATGATTTGCTCCGTGCGTAAATTACGCATGTCCTGGATACTCTCCTCTCGATCATTTCATTACTTCACCATCGTCTGCTCACTGTAATATGCGCATTCAATTTGGATCCATCGCGCTTACACCAACTGGATTCAACATGGAAACATAAAGCTATTAAATATGGATAATGCTTTACCAAAACACACTCGTGCATGGCTGCTAACTCTCTGCAGTTGCGTGGCAGTGTGTAAGCAGCAATAACAGATAAATAAAACACATTAAACACATTCTTCCGCCACTAAAAATAGGCTCTGCGGTGTTTGAGGTCGCAAACATTAGTGCGTAATTATTAAATGATATTAACACATAGGCTATTAAACTGGAGTAGGCCTCCTCAGGTCATGCGTGTGTTCATGACTTATTCTAATGTGGAAAATACACACAAGCCCCTCATATAAGAAATAAATAACAGGTCAGCAACTTCCTGTCTTCCTCACACCCTATTATTCGTCAGAGTGAGGTTTGCTGGTGTGAATGTGCTGCATTAGATCCAGTCAGGCCTTTGTGCGAAGTCTAATTCAGGCCCGTGACATCTGACTTGTTCCTTCGCCAAAACAAGCAGCAACCCGCTGCCACGGTTCAAATGGAAGAAGTTGCCTTTGACACGAGTCTCGCCGCATCATCACAGAAACTCTCTCATATCCTGTTGTACCAATAATGATCTCATAAACATGGCTGCAGTGCTGTGTTGACTTCAGGACTCACAGGCCGAGATGCATGCGTGGAATAAAACAAACATACAGCGGTGACTTGGACACAGATGAACGTTAGCGCGCACTGTCATAACACACTGCAGTTATTCTGTTTGTGTGTGTGTGTGTGTGTGTGTGTGTGTGTGTGTGTGGATACGGGGATTTTAAGGCTCTGACATGACTGTACATTTACAATAATAATGACTAATAGCTCCCTCCAAGAGAGACTTGAAGAAAACATTTTACACGCTAATATCCTCCCAGATGAAAAGCCAAACAATGACATAAAATGAAAAGTAATGGGACGCCCTTTGACCTTCATCCCTCCTCACTCTGACACTATAATAACCATTAAAAGCACCATCAACATCAACATCAACATCATCAGCAACTAGAACAACAAAAAGCACATCATGCATCTGTATCACCCTCCATAATTCGGTGTAAACGATGACTTCTGTAAATATAATGCAAATTATATTAACGATGAAGCGTCGGACTTCATTCTGTGCCCTCAAGTTATTATTAAAATTATTATTTAAGAACGCATCTTGCCAGCCTCTGTCACCAAACACTGAATGCATCCTCTGGACCAGCATCAGCTAACAACCACAAAACCATTCATGATAAAAAGATGTGGAATAAATAAATGTAAATGAACACATTTTCCTGTATTACCCTAATTGTTTTGCTTCACTTTTTTATTTAAAAGAAAGCACAACAATGGCAGAGATTCTGACCCACTCCTTTAACATACATCCTTTTTATTTAATATATTTTTTAGAACCAACATAAAGTCCAATAAGATCATTTATTCTGGTAAAATAGGGTAAAAGTGTCTGGAAAAATATTCTAATTTTATATTATAGGCTGGTGAGTGTGAAGATGTGGTGTTATTTTATAGCCTTTTAAAAGTCATGTCAATATAATATTTATTTAATCGAATTATAGTTTAATATTCTGTAAAAATAAATGTCTCCACATTACAAACATATTACACAGTTGCAGTATGGCATGTAATGCCTGTCGTCATCCGTCCAAAACTCACAACAGTCTACAGCTACTTTATCTATGATATAAAATAATGTATAAATAATTATCACCTTAAAATATATTTTTTGGGAACATGTTCAGTCTGTGCTGATGAAGAAATAAAGGTGGAAAAAAGTCTCATTGTTCTAACCAAGCAAAATAATTAAATGTAAGACATTTATTTGGGAAAAAAAAAACTTTAAAGCAAGCATGGATTCATTTTGCAGATTTATTTTTTAAAATGGACTAAGTTCAGGCTAATGATAAATGCAGTGTAATAAACTACATCCCATAATGCGCTTTTATGTGTTTATATGTGTGCGTAAATATGTCTTTGTGTGTCTGTGTGTGAGGGAGAGAGTTGCAGCCTAATGGACATTATTACCTAGTTTGTACACCAGTTATTTTTCATACTTATAATCATTTTTATTCAGGTAACATTTTAAAATTGCTTTTGTCTAAAAAATAATCCTTAAAGTTAAAACCACACTAATAAGCATTACAAATAAATTAATATTGATATGTTAATGTTAAGTTCCCTCTCATACACACAGTTATAGAGTGTAGTGATAGTGCGGAGGTCAGCCCCACACTGTCCCAGCACTCTCACCCCCCAGCCGGTATGATTCGGGGCCCATTAGCGCCTTACCAGATGAGGGCCGGTCCGAGTACCGTGTGCAGTAAACCCACGCGGGCCACAACATCGGCTGGCTCTCCTTCGTTATGCTCTGAGATCCTCCATTGCTGCCACCCATAAAACTAATCGCCGACGGGCTGTCTGCGTATCTGCCGCTCCCGTTGCTCGCCGCTTCGCCCGCTTTCGACGAGTTCTGCTTGGACGAAGGCGAAGAGGACGTGGACGACGAAGACGAGGAGGAGGGCGACGAGGAGGTGCTGTCGCTGCTGCAGTTGGAGTCCAGGCACAGGCTGCCGGTGTGCGGCGGCCTCGCGCCCAGCGGGTTGACGTTTTCTCTGCCCGGCGTGTGGCTCCGGTCGCGGTAGCTCGGCTCCTTCCTGCAGCCGAAGTCCGGCCGGAGGATGTTGTCTATGAAAAAGTTCGTGGTTCTGTGGGCCTGCTGGGCCGCCTGGTGCGGGAGGATCAGAGGAGGGGATGGGAGGTTCGGCGACAGGGACATGCTCTCCTCCTCGGTCGAGTCCCGGCTGCTGTTGGGCTCCTTTTGCTCTTCCATAGCTGGTGACGGCCTCTCCACGCCAAACTCCACTTGTTGCTCGCGCTCCCGCCCCCCTTCGGTATCCAATTCAGACGGACCGCATAAAAACAAACCTCTGCGCGTGAATAAAACCAACAAACACCTGCGTTAATGTTTAATTTCACCTACAGCCGCCTCCTAAAAGCCTTCCGACACCTGACATAGCGAACAGCTCCCCGTGATAACCAGTGTCCCTGCCTGTGTCCGGTGCAGCATAATATCTGCTCGTCCTAAACTCTCCTAAAACCGTTATCTCCGCGCGAGTGTTTCTTTCTGTCTCTTACACCCAGCCGGAAGCACGTGTGCGCGTACACACGTGCGGCGCACCAATCAGGTGCGGAGGCAGTCGCTGTCACAATTGACGACGTCCAATTAGGGCTCGGGGAGCGCTGCGGACGAGCACGCGCGCACACAGCCCGCGCGGAGTTCGATCGATTCGGGGTGAGGGCGCACGTGCGCACACATGTACACAGCAAAACAAAAACAACAGCCGGGCAGCCTCCATTATAAGTGTGACACAGCGGCAGGGAAAGTACGTTTTCTTTTTAAACACACATTTTAAAATCACATGTTGTGTTTTTACTGAATATTTTTACTTATATGTCAAATTAAAGTTAATTTATTTAAAAAAAATAAAAATAAAACAACTTTATGAGATTTTAATTTATTTTAGTTGAAGCTAACTTAGCTTAACACCTGCAGGCGTGTTAATGGCAGGTGTTACGGCGTAGATAGCTTTGACTTGTGCCTGTTTAGTAGCCTGAAATATTCCCAAAATATTAGAGAAAATAAAGGAAAGAAATGCCCTATGTAGCTTATAAATATTAGTAATTTGTAAACCTAAAAGTGTCGTCAAAAAGGTCATTTTCAGTGTCGCCATCTCTGTTTTTTATTGGCCTTTTGTCATCTTTTTTTTTGTGTGACGCATTTACGCCATATTTACATGCAGCTTTTTGGAAAACCCAGCAGCACAAAACACTTTTACCTAAAAAAAATATAAGCGTGAAAAATCAGGTTTTTAGGAACACAATGAGGTGTATTAAGCAGGAATGTGCCCTGATGACACAGTGGTTTTGCAGAAATCTCCACAATAAGAATAAAATCTCCACAATAAGAATAAAATCTCCACAAGGCTCTTAATTGGCGATTTGAAATAATAATACTAATATTAATAATCATAATAGCAACAGCGTGAGCGTGGGGACGTGTTGATGTTTAACACCACCGCAGTGAAATCTTTATCCCACAGGCCGGAGTGGGGAAGCCATGGCTACTTAATTAAATTCCAATTAGGACAGTATCAATATGGTGTTTAGCCGCAGAGCCATTGTGGGTAAATGAGCACTCAGTCTGCTCTTATCATGGCGCCGCAAAGAGAGGCTCCTTGAGAGGGGCTGCGAGAGATAATTTATAGCTTTTAATTAGTCTTCATTCCGCCCGATCAGCCCGGTGTTCATCACGGGGAGCGGGGCTGAATAAAACCCGAGTCAAAAGCGCTGTCACCGGTCCCTGGCAGGGCCCTTAATCAAAGTGAAGCAGGGGCCGCGCTACAAGCCACGTAATTTCCAAGGTGCTGATAAAGCTTGTTGAATAATAGCGGGGGCCCTCGGAGACACCATTTACAGAAATGACTTTATTGACGGCTTAACGTTGGTAATTCATTTTACCTTTCATGTATTGGGAGCCGGATTTGTCGCCGTAATAGGATGATAAATGCACTGACGGATCGCAGCCCCGGTTTTATTGAGTAGCCTATATACTGCTCCAGCGGCAGGTACACACACACACACACACACACACACACACTTCATGATGAGGCTCTTGTTGAAAAGCTGTCTGGAGTAAAGGCATGACAGTGTGTGCAGACTGCACCGGAACTGCTTCTACATAACACAGTGAAAGAAAATCATGTGTTTTCAGGCGTTTCACCTGATTATTTCCTTCCTGTGAGAAGAACCGATCACACTATGTAGCCTGGACGGCAAATCAAAGAAAACTACCTTTATAATAATTCTACATTTGATTTATCATCCTTTTCTCCACGTTTAGTTCTTGTTTTTACCCTTTTATATCGGCCTGGCATGAAGGTGTACACTGTTTTAACACATCTTTAGTTGCTTCACTGCACTTTGTTTACCCATTTTATTTTAATAGAAATAAATACTCTTTAGGTAACACATTTGTTTTTCATTAGGAAAAAAAAGCCTTGAGTTTGATATAAAAAATAAAACAGATTAGGCCTGTACCAAGTGCACAAATGAAACTGCAAAAAATCATTTTTGTCACCCAAAATAAGTATGTCTAAATTTAGTGTAAGTCCTAATAGCTACACTGAAACTGAAACAGCAGCTTCATCTTCACAGTGCAAGAGAAAATATATTCTTTAATCAAATTTTTATAGTTCAAATATATATATAGATGATCATAAAGGATTCATTTATAAGTAGCAATGGCGTAATCTGCACAATTAGGTTTTGTGAACATGAAAAAGTTGCTGTCCACTTCATGGATGCTTCTCTGTGTTGTTATTTTTCTTCAGGTAAATATGGTCTCTTTGTGCAAAAATAAATTAAAAATCACATTGTCATGTGGATTCAAATTGCTCCATGTTTCAGGTGCCAAAATAAGGTGATAGTCTGAGGGAGGTTGTGAAGCTCTGCATTGATTGTGTCTCAAAGGGTGCAGCTGTATGCTTGTGCTGCCACCTAGTGAGCAAGATGGTGCCTGTTACAGCACAGAGAGAGAATTGTGCTTCATGAGACTGGGTACGGTCCTGTATATGTGTTTTTTTTTAATGCAGTTGTTTTCAGATTAAATTTATATTAACATAGATTCTCACCTGTCTTCAGTATAAGGACAAGGACACTACAGGTGAATATGGTAAAACTATTAACAAAATATCACTATAAATCTTCTCCAGTTGATCACCTGCATCAAGACAATCATTTTTGTATTACAAGTTTTCTGAAATGTTATGACTTAACATGCAGAAGAGGCATTATCTAATTAGATAAGTGCAAATTTGCATTCATCTCCAGACCATAAATCTGAACACTGGATTAAACCAGGTTTAAAACTCTTGTTTCATTTTGTTGACATGTTAAAATCGAAGGTTTTAAAGAGAGAATTAGGGATATCTGTTTTTACATTTTCATAAATCAGAAAATACTGTCAACAGCCATAAAAATAAATCAATTTTTGCTGTGGTTTTATGAATTAAATGTTACATAAATTAAGCTATGGATGATATATGAACAGAACCCCCTTTAAAACCCTTCAGAATATAGACAGAAATGAAACTGGAAAGTCTGCTGTATGTAAGTAGAGATCTTTGGCTCGGAGTATTTTAAGAAATGCCCTTTTTTTTTTTATAAGATTCCACACATTTTAAGACCAAAAATAAGACTTTACAGGTATCACCATGAAACCTCCCCTGTAGATTATGTGGATTACAATAATTTTTTGTATCGCAAGTTTTCTGAAATTTTACATTTTAATGTGTAAGTGATGCGTTATCTGATTAAATATGCTGTTTTGCATACATTTCCAGCACAGAAATCTGAACTATAATAAACGCCTGAATATGTATTTTGGACGTTTTCTTCGCTAGCCTGAAAGTACACATGCTGTGGAAGTAAAATAGCCCGTCAGAGCATAAAAACTATATTTTTGTGTGAACCTCTGGCCTCAAATATCCACATGTGAAAACAGGAAGTCAGTAGCAAGTATAGGCCTTTGGCGACATCTAGTGGCTCTGGTGTGTAAGTGGCATAAGCATTTTGGACACATGTTAATCTATATGGCAGACACAGCACACCATATGAAAAATAAACCAGCCAATCTGCAATCTATACTAGCTCCATTTATTTAAAGAGATTTTTTTTTTGCTGTAGATTGAGTTACTGTGTGTTGAAAGAAAAAAATAACAACAACAACCTACTTCTAAATAAATTAAATATTTCTTCTTACATCCATTTAGACAAGGCAAGATGAGGGAAATTTATTTGTATAGCACTTTGCAAAATATATTGTGTATTGATTTACATAAAAAGAAGAAACACACTAGAACAAGATTTAAAAGCACAATAAAAAAAGACAAAAAAATATATAGATAGATAAAAAAATAGAATAAAAGCTTTAAGTGATGAATAAGTTAGAAGCAGCACATTTGAAATAATGTCTAAATATTATTTAAAGTATCTGAAAATATCGGAACACCTAAATATGCTCACAAATATATATCCCTGAACAAGTTATTTCGCACATATGAATTTCTGTACACTGCTTTTTTTTTTTATACAAACCATCCAAATACAAAACATGCTGTTTATTTTGTGAGACTTATTTTTTTTAAAAAATGTACAATGATATATGTATTTTTCCCATGTTTCATCCCTTTTCAGTAATTCAACTCATTTTTTCCTGCGATACCGTGCTTGTCCACTAGATGTCAGAGTAAAGCAGCTTAAAAGAGACACTGATGCATCTTGAACTCTTCTATCATTTCACCACAAGTAAGGAGAGACACAGACAAAAGAAGCATAAATCAGTCATTGTATATTAGTAATATGGAAACAGGATAAATGGGCTTACTTAAGAATATTTCTCTGTCACCATAAAAACCAAAATACCCAACAACAAAGGCATTTTTCATTTAAAAGAGTAAGAAATGTCAGTGTTATAATGCCAAATATGTCAACTTGTCGAAGACTTCTAAACTACAGCGGCGAGGTTGTAAAACTAGTCGACAAAAACAGCAATAAAGAGCAGACTGAAAGCTCCTACATGAATAAAATAATACAATTTATAGAGATTTGCCTGTTAAAAATTGTTAATGCAAACACGTGATGGATGGCGGCGTCAGAATACTGAATGACTCCACTGTTTCCCACTTTTTCATACTTTGACATTTCACAACTTTACGCCACAAGTGTCACATTTAAGCAGCTTTGCGGCGATGCGAGACAAATGCTAAAGAGACGTCATAAACAAGGATGAATTTCCAATGGTGACACTCTCAATCCAATCACTGTCTGCCATAGGATTGGAATGCCAGCGATGTACACACCGGGACATGTTTGCATACTAAACGATGATTATCATTCACTGAGTTTCCTCTCCCTCTCTCTTTCCCTCTGTCTGTCTGTCCGTCTCTGTCGCTCTCTCTCCAAGGTCCAGGCTCTCTCCAGTAATAATACATGAAGGGCTCCTCTCCCTCATCCATTAATCAGGAGGGAGGTTGAGGTAA